ACATCTACCTCCTTCTTATGAAATCGATTCATGTCGCAGCAGATCTCTGTCAAACATCTTTTATGTTATTTTTGTATTTTGTTGAATGCGTTGGTGGTTCTGAAGCTGCTGGAGGCTTCATTCGATAAAACATCTGGATTTTATGGGAAGAGCAACTTTTCAACAGTGGGATTGTTTTAGGATTTTCTTTTTGTGCTTTATCTTTGTTTGTTTGTTTTGCCTGTGTTTCTTTTTGATTTATTTTCCATGTGACTACATAAAAACATAAAGCATGGATATGTTTAATGCTCTATGGTTCAGAGTTTAGTAGACAAGTCCAGGAATGTGTTTGGTTTTCTAGTGAAACATTTTATTTGAATGCGCTTCTGAAGTGAACACAACATTAACAAGTTAATGCAGTGGTTCACTAACATTTTCTGCCAGGAAAAGAAAGTTTCCTCCCCATCCCCACCCCCCTGCCCCCACACACACTTACAGTGTCCAAACAAACACACAAATATACTGTTTCACACCACAACCTTTTGCGTGGCACTGGCTATTGAACTAATACAAGTAAACAGACATAAAACACTGGTTGCAATAAAATAAACTAAAAACCACCTTTTAGCTTCACTAATATTATTATTATTATTATTATTATTATTATTATTATTATTATTATTATTATTATTATTATTATTATTATTATCTTCCAAAATGCTTCTCTTTGCAAAATGGGTTTAAAATGAACAACTTCCTGAGAGGAAAATAACTGAAGGCTTGTTGATCAGAAATCATCCATGCAGTTTTAACTTCAGCGTGGCTTTATTTCTCTGATTGTAAGTTATGTTTTACCTGCTGATAATGTCAGATATTTATTAACAAAAAACAGCGTAATTGAGTTTGTTTTTAAGAAAAAAGAAACTTCAGACAATCACAGCTGAAATTAGATGCAGATGCTTCCTTTTTTCAACACAAGACCAGTTGCTGTTTGTTTATTTCATCATTTGAAATCTGGGACTGTATTTCAGTGATATTTAGGAAAAAATAAAATAATAGGCATGGCCTGCTGGAACGGTCCAATCATGGCAGGTTTACAAAATATTCAAAATCTATTTATAGGAAAACATTTTTTATTAAAAAAGACATCTCATGATCATCTCTTACAAAAACACAGCACAAGATGAATAACTTTATTAAGTATGAGTGGCTTTAAAAGAAAACTCATCTGTTTCTTTAAACTAATTGTGATTTTATGCTGAAGTTGCCTGCAGATTTTTGAGCGAAACAACAAAGGAAGAAATGTTAGTTTTAGTCAGATTATTGAGTTTAACAACAATAAAGGCCGGAGCCTGGAGCAACATGAGTTTTCATTCAAGACTGGCCAATTTGAGATTTACTGGAATGAACCGAAGATCTGTGCAAAAGCTACCAATTACCCAGTTAGAGCGGAGAACAAAGGCTTATTTTTATCTCTGCCTGCGCAAAATAAGTTGTTATGAACTAAATGAAGAAAGTCACGGCATGCAGTTGTTTTTTTGTTTTGTTTCTTTTGCCTGCCCTCGTGAAACTACAAGTTTAATCCACAAATGTTAAAGTTTCTGTTTATCTACATTGCACTATAATGATGTAACTATTAGAACTGGAATGTTTTATGATATGCAGGAGTTGGCTTTTCAAAAAGACATTCATCAGGCAGTGATAAGGAAAGGGGGGAGGCTGGTGGTGTTTTCTCCCAGGTTTTTCTGCAGACTGATGAAAGTAGACTCTTTATATTTTCCATATCTGGACAAAAAAGTTGGATGGACATTTAATGGTATAGGTGGGTGTAAAATCTAATTAGCTTCCATTAGATTCTGTTTAAAGTGACAAATGTTGCCAAAAATGTCACTTTGTAGAAATTAAGTTTAAATAATTTGCCAAAAACTAAAAGCAGGAACTTAAACTTGATCATTTTTGTAGGTAAAAAACAGACAGGAGTGTTTCCAAGATGGAAAAAATAAAAACTAAACTACTAAAGGACCAACAAGACAAAACTGCTCAGATTAAAATAATGCGTGAATCTATAGTTGGAGTATTTTTTTAYCTGTGATTGTTTGAATCAGACTGTTAGTTTAATCTCTTGTTGGTTATAAGAAAACGGTTGTGTGCTGCTTTTCTCAGATTTCTTCTGAACACACCAATTGTCTGTGTTGCTTTTGTTTGTCTGTTAKTGTTCACAAACAACGAAACAACAAGCACAAGAAAAGCAAGTATTTGTTAACCGTTTGATAATTGAGAGAGCAATAAGCACTCATATGCAGATTTTTGTATTATTATATTAGTTACATTTAAAAATGTGTAAGTTTTAATGTAATATTTGCTCAAAGGTTTTTGTTCCCCTCAAGTCTAAATGACATTTTTGAACAGTTTATGTAATATTTTTCTTATAGGCATTTACTGTTTAAACATTTGCAATAATTGAATAAAAAGTTTAAAGATTAAATATTTATTTAAACTTATATAGACTGAATAAATAAATGGTTCGAGACGCTGTAAGATTTCCATTTATGTATTTACAACAAGTCATTGGTTGGGAAATTTCCACTTAAATAAATACCATGATGTCTCCTTTTGACCTAAAAGCCTTTTTGAACACATTCCTCTAAACATGTGGTTGAGTTAGTTATGCAAACATCTTTTTATATTTATAGATTGTTACTTTGCAGTGTAAGCAGTTGTCATTGCTGGAGCAGCAACTTTTAAGGTGATATTTTCTACTGCTGACTTATTTTTTTTCTGCAAATGGTGGGAATGTTGTCWTTTTTAGACCCTTATTAAGTTTCCAGACTCTTAAATGTGTTTTTATAACATCTAAAAATAATACTGATGCTGTATTTCTGAAAAAATATAGCATTATGCATAAAAAGAAAAAACTACAAAACACAGCAAAAAAATAAAATAAAAGACATATTAAGTTTTGTCCTTGTAAAAGTTGCATTACAGTAAAGAATTTTGTTTAGCTGTATATAAAGA